ATATAAGGGAATTTATTGTGTAGTATAAATTTGAGTTTCAAATTTAAGAGTGAAATAAGTAATTATTCATAACTTACGAGTCAATATTAACTTATACGTAAATGAAATAGTCAATTATTTATAATTTAATAAATTACTCAACTATTTAACTTTTTTTTTGTTTTTGCGAGTTTATACAATAACAAATTTATTTTAATGAACTATATAAGTTTTATAGTTATACTAATTATTCACATAGATTTTTAAATATATGAAAAAATTTTACCAAAATAATTATTTTATGGAATCACATTATAGTCAAATCAAATTTATTTATAAAAATTTTAAAATGACACTTATTTTGAAATGAATATAATGTAATTTATTATCAGTTATGCACACCATACGGGTTTATGGTACTATTTTTAAATTTACATGATTTAAGATGACACTTATTCTGAAATTAATATAATATAATTTATTATCAGTTATGTGTACCATACGAGTTGTGTACTAATTTTAAATAGACACGTTTGGTTTATGTAATTTTGCATGATATAAAATTCATATAACATTTTCAATTAATTAATATATGTAAATTGTATTGCATATTAGTTTCATATTTTTAATTTATAAATATTATTTAATGAGCATTTTTAATAAATATAACGAATATCTCTTACCCATGCATCGCACGGGATTCGTACTAGTTAATATATAAAAAGACAATGATATTTACTTGAAATAACAATTAACAATTAGCAAAAAAAATTGATTTCCCGCCTAAAGTATTTTCTATATTGAGTAAATTTTTTTGCTAAATTTTGAAAAATCTTGCCTAAATTAATGTAACTAATATACAGAATCATTTTGATCAAATATTGCAGCTATTACCTTTATTAGTCGGATAATTTTAATTTGGGGATATAAAATTAAAATAAATAAAAAATTATTATTCATAATTTGCGGGTCAATATTAACTTGAACGTAAACGCAATAGTCAATTATTTATAATTTAATAAATTATCAATAACATACGAGTCAATATTAACTTGGACGGAAACGAAATAGTAAATTATTTATAGTTCAGTATATTACTCAACTACTTAATTTTTTTATTTGAGTAGTTTATACAAATATAGATTATTTTAAGTAATGAAATGATATAAATTTTATATTTATACTTATTATTCACATAAGATGTTAAATATATGATAACATTTTACCAAAATAACTATTTTATAGAATCATATTATAGTCAAATAATTTCTGAATAAGAATTTTGAAATGATTTATCTTGAAACGAACATAATGTGATTTATTATCAGTTATGTGCACCACACGGGGCGTGTACTAATTTTAAATAAACATTTTTATGTAATTTTGTACAATTTAAACTTTATATAACATTTTCACTAAATTAAAATAGGTAATTTTATTACATATTGATTCCATATCTTTAATTTATAAATATTACTTAATAAGAATTTTTAATTTATAAATATTAGTAAATATCTCTTACCCGTTCACTGCACGGGACTCATACTAGTTTACAATTAAAAGAGTTGAAATATTTTTTTTTTTAAAAAAATTGCGTTTATATGATTGAATGTATTGTATATTTTGGTACGTCTTTTTTGTTGTGAATTATTTATTATTTATTTAAGAATTTTAAATACGTTTTTTATTTAAAAATAATAATTTAAATGTAGCCACATTAATAACATCTAATCACATTACACGGTCAACACATTATATGGTCAACTGTCAGTAATCAAAAGTTTAAAATGATCTTTGTAATTTTGAAGTGATTTGTGTTAATTATTTAATAATTAAATAAAAAATTAAATACATCAAAAGTAACGATTTTTGAAGAAAAAATAGTTAAATTGTCATATAAGTAAAATTAAATACTCCCTCCTATTTTTTTTAAATGTCATTATAGCTTTATCAATTATTTGTTAAATAAATGTCATTTTAGATATTTTGTACATATTTTTCCATTATTACCCTCATTTAGCTAATAAATATATCACGTCTTTTCATAATCACTCTTCATCTTTTTCTCAAAACATTGATCTCTATCTTCATTAAATAAGGTTATTATTGACAAAAAAAATATTCTTAATAGATGTGCAACATCCCAAAACGACATCTATTTAAAATAGGAGGTAGTATGTTTTATTAAATGCTATTAGCTAGTAATTGTGGTATATCAATATATATAGATTTTTTTTAACCCTAATTTCTAAACATACACGATACCACTTACCAGTAGCACCATACAGATCTCCTACTTTCCATCTCCCTTTGCCAAATCGCCCGTCGGTCTCCCTCCCCCAAATCGCCCAGTCAATCTCCCTCCCCCAAATCCTCCGCCGTCGCTCCTCCTCTGCCCTAAATCGCCCAAATCCAAATCATCTTCTCCGTAAAAAATCTTCCCAGAAGCCGCATCTGCGACTCCTCGCCGGTCAAGGAACTCCTTGTCGCCAGTCGTCGAACTGTCGGTCGAGGGCGCTGGGCAAACGGTTGTTCACCGTCAAGGGCGAATTCGTCTCCCTCCCAAAATCTCAGTTCCATCTCAAATCAAGGTACAAAGTCCTTTTTGTTGAACAATTGTGGTTTCTCCAGTTCTGGGGCATTTACATATCTTCGAGAATTTTATTGAGAAAATCACCTTTTTTTTTTTTTAAATTCTGGGCCAAAAGTATATTTTGGTTTGATGTAAAAATCAGGATTTGGGGTTCTACACATTTGTGTTGTGTTTTTCTCTTATTTTCTTTCTATTTTGTCCTTTTCTTTTTCTAGATTGTTGTCATGAACACTCAGGTGATGAGCTGATGCTGGTAATTTGACATTTTATGGCTTAATGAGGGGTCTGAACTCTGAGTTTTTTTTTTTTTTTTTTT